AATACACACAGGAGGATCAAAGGTCAGGTGTTTTGGGTTTTTGTTTGAGACAGAGTCTCGCCCTGTTGCCTGGGCTGGAGTACAGTGGCGTAATCTCAACTCACTGCAACCCCCGCCTTCCAGATTCAAGTGATTCTCCTGCCTCAGCCTCCTGAGTAGCTGGGATTACAAGCGTGCGCCACCACGCCTGGCTAATTTTTTCTATCTTTAGTAGAGACGGGCTTTCACCATGTTGGCCAGGCTGGTCTTGAATTCCTGACCTGGTAGTCCGCCTGCCTTGGCCTCCCAGTGTGCTGGGATTACAGGTGTGAGCCATCCCAAAGGAAGATTTTTTTTTTAGGCCTAGAACTAGAACAAATTACTTCCTCCCACACCCCATTGGCCAGGCTCGGTCCCTGAGCCCCAGCTCACTGCAAAGGAGGCTGGGAAGTGGAGCCTAACTGAATCTGGGAGGAAAGTGCACACGGAGGCCTGGGGATGCATTCCATCAGATTTCCCTCCTACGTGCTCCCACAGGCCGCTAGGTGTTACGTGGAGGATGCAAAGGAAGATTTTTCTCTGCAGAGCCCACTCCCTGCCGCTCCACCTGAGGCGCTCTGGGCTAGGACCCTTGGCAAAAGAAAAAACCCACTCCAACCCCTGTCACCTGGGGCGGGAGACTCTGTGTGTGGGCTGTGCCCTTCCACACTGTGCTCCCCTTCCCTGGCTGTTAAACATTCCAGAGGCACGAGGGTGGAGAGAGTCCTGGCCCCCTCCCCTGGCGCTACCCCACTGGCCTGGGCTGCCCGCCTCAGGCTTCCTATGTCTGGCCTGGCTTTTAGGGCATTTGGGATGCTCAGTAAACGTTTGTTGAATGAATAAAAGAAGGAAAGCAGGATGATGAGGAGGAAAAGTCCTGGACAGTACGTGCCGGGCAGATGGATGCCGTCTCATGAATGAAACTGCTGTATTCAGCCGCTCCTTACAAGCTGGGTCTGTGACGTCTGGCTTTGGCTGGGGATGCATTTTTTTCTTTAGATATGCTCTTAAAGTTTTAACTGAGTTCGTTTATTTGGGCACAGGAAATAATGTTCACGCCATACAAAAGGGTCTATAGAGAAAACTGTCCTCCCTACCCCTTCCTCCCCTGGCTCTCCGCCCTGAGACAAGCAGTGTTCCTAATTTCTTGCAACGCTTCCAGAATATTCGATGCTTAACAGATGTTGGCTATTATTTTCATGGTTGTGGCTGTTGTGTTCAGTATCCTTTCCTGCTGCCAGACAGCCTTAGTCTAGGGGAGAAGGCAGGGCAGTGTGGAAGGAACAGGCCCCTATAGCAAGCCTGTGGGCATGGCCACAGTAAGTGTGTTGTGCACACCTTCTTGTCCGATTCTGCCACTTCATTTTATAGGTGTGCAGACTGAAGCACGGGGAGGCCTGGGCACAGCCTCGATCTCCAGTCCTGCTTCTCCTGGGTGGTACTGCTCCACGCTTCTCCTTTTCCAGTGCCAGCTTTGCATATGGGAGTTGGGCCTGATTCTCTTTTTAGAACCTTGAATTCCGCTTTCTCATGTTTGCAGAACTGCCCTCCCTGCTCTTCTCTCTCCCCTGAGAGAGGCAGCAGGCTGGGCGCAGTGGCTCACGGCTGTAATCCCAGCACTTTGGGAGGCCAAGGCGGGCAGATCACCTGAGGTAAGGAGTTCGAGACCAGCCTGGCCAATATGGGGAAACCCCGTTTCTACTAAAAACACAAAAAATTAGCTGGGTATGGTGGCGCATGCCAGTAATCTCAGCTACCTGGGAAGCTGAGGCAGGAGAATTGCTTGAACCTGGAGGTGAAGGTTGCAGTGAGCTGAGATGGCGCCACTGCACTCCAGCCTGGGTAACGAGAGCAAAACTCCTTCTCAAAAAAAAAAAAAAAAAAATAGAGCCCTGAGCTAAGCTCCCACACCACCCTTCCCCCCACCAGAAAAGGGGGAAAAGGGTTAGGAACCATGACTTGAGAGGAAGATGAAGGTTCTAGAATAGAATGTTTAGTAAGTGGCCATCAAACTGTTCAGAGTCCTGATAGTCATCTCTAGGAAGTGCTAGCAAGAGCAAGCAGACAAGAGAAAGAAGGAAAGCGCATCCACATTGGAAGGCCTAAAGACTGCACCAAAAAACTATTAGAACAGATCAATTCAATTAAGTTGCAGAATACAAAATCAATGTACAAAGTTCGGTAGCATTTCTATGCACCAACAGCAAACAATCTGAAAAAGAAATCAAGAAAATAACTCCATCTGCAATAGCTACAAATAAAATAAAATACCTAGGAATAAAAACCAAAGAAGTGAAAGATCTCTGCAATGAAAGCTATAAAACGTTGATGCAAGAAATTGAAGAGGACACAAAAAATAAAAAGATATTCCATGTTCATGGATTGGAAGAATCAATATTGTTTCTTCTGCCCTTCCCTCTGCCCTAGACTAAGGCTGTCTGGTGGAGACAGGTCCACACTATCCAGAGAAATATACAGATTCTTTGTTATCCCTATCAAATTACCCATGACATTCTTCAAAGAAGTAGAAAAAATAATTGTCAAATTTATATGGAACCACAAAAGACATAGAGTAGTCAAAGCTATTCTAAGCAGAAAGAACAAAGCTGGATGAATCACATTTTCTGACTTCAAATTATACCACAGAGCTACAGTAACCAAAACAGCATGGCACTAGCATAAAAACAGGCACACTGACCAATGAACCAGAATAGGGAACCCAGAAACAAATCTACTTACCTACAGTGAACTCATTTTCAACAAAGGTGCCAGGAACATATCTTTGGGGAAAGGAGGAGAGTGTTTTCAATAAACAGTGCTGGGAAAACTGGATATCCATATGCAGAAGAATGAAACTAGACCTCCATCTCTCTTCATATACAAAAATCAAATCCAAATGGATTAAAGATTTAAATCTGAGACCTCAAACTATGAAACTACTAAAAGGAAACATTGGGAGAGACTCAGTAGGACACGGAACTGGGCAAAAATTTATTGAGCAACACCCCACAAGTACAGGCAACCAAAGCAAAAATGACAGATGGGAGCACATCAAGTTAAAAGGCTTCTGCACAGCAAAGGACACAATCAGCAAAGTGAAGAGTCAACCCACAGAATGGGAGAGAACATTTTCAAACTAGCTATCTGACAAGGGATTAATAACCAGAATAGATAAGGAGCTCAAACATCTCTATAGGAAAAAAATATAGCAATCCCATCAAAAATCAGGCAAACAATCTGAATAGACAGTTCTCAAAAGAAAACATACAAATGGCAGACAGGTCTATGCAAAGGTGCTCTACATCATTGATAATCAGAGAAATGCACATCAAAACTGCAATGAGAAGTGTCATCTCAGTTAAAATGGCTTTTATCCAAAAGATAGGCAATAATGAATATTGGTGAGGATGTGGAGAAAAGGGAACCCTTGTATACTGTTGGTGGGACTGTAAATTAGTACAACCACTGTAAAGAACACTTTGGAGATTCCTCAAAACTCTAAAAATAGAGTTTTGTCTTTTTGTCAAGCAAAAAGAATGAAGCTGGACAAATCACATTATCTGACTTCAAATTATATCACAGAGCTACCGTAACCAAAACAGCATGCACTAGCATAAAAACAGGCACACTGACCAATGAACCAGAATAGGGAACCTAGTTCTAAAAATAGAACTACCATATGATCCAGCAATCCCACTGCTGAGTATACACCCAGAAGAAAGGACATTAACATCTGGAAGAGACATCTGCACCCCAACGTTTGTTCCCGCACTGTCCACAATACCCAGGATTTGGAAGCAACCTAAGTACCCATCAACAGATGACTGAATAAAGAAAATGTGGTACATATACACAGTGGAGTATTATTCAGCCATGAAAAAGAGTGAGATCCTGTCTTTGCAACAACATGTTCAAAACTGGAGGCCATTATACTAAATGAAACAAGCCAGGCACAGAAAGACAAACTTTGCATGGGCTCACTTATTTTTGGGATCTAAAAATTAAAACAGTTGAATTCATGGAGATGGGAAGGGTGATGGGGGTGAGGGTGAGTGAGGATGCTTGTACAAGAATAGAGTTAGAATAAATGAGATCTAGTATCTTACAGCATAACAGGGTGACTTTAGTCAACAATAATTTACTGTACTTTTAAAAATAATTGGATTGTTTGTAACAGAAAGCAAGGATAAATGCTTGAGGTGATGGATAGTCCATGTGCCCTGATGTGATTATTACACATTGTATTCCTGTATCAAAATAGCTTGTATACCTCATGAATACAGGCATTTACCACGTACCCACGAAATCAAAAATTAAAAAAACCAGTCATCTCTCAATGCTAAATGGAGTAAGGGGCTTCCTGGAAGGCAGGGTGAAAAGGGAATCTCCAAAGGATGGTGTGTTGCAGGCTGGGAGGAGGGTAAGGCACTGGGGTCACCTAGAGGGACGGGCTTGTGTGAAGCCTACATGTTAGTGGGTATGTGTGTCACCAGATGGCGGTGCCAGAAGTGTGGGGTAGCCTTTGGGAGTTGGTGTGGGGGTGATGTAGGAGGGGAGAGAGGGAGGGTCTAGGTTCTCTTGGCTTCTGTGTGCAGCTAGGCCCCTATTTGAGAATGAGTGAGTATGTGCGCCTGTGTGTGTGTGTGTGTGTGTGTGTGCGTGTGCGCGTGTGTGTGCCGCCCCCAGCGTAGGAGGCAGATCTTTATCTCGCCCCGGGGTGCTTGAGGAGTTTCAAGCTTTCTCATAAGCCTCATCTCCCCGCCTCTCCACCCCAGGCCTTGCCCCTCTATCCTCTTCACAGGAAGTGGGCTGGCCCTGGGCTTTTAGTCTTTAGCCACAGACTTCTCCTGGGCCAGAGCTGAGCAGGGCCCTGGGGAGATGGCCACGGTCCCAGCAGCAGGGAGGACTGGAGAGCGCGCGCTGCCACCGCCCCATGTCTCAGCCAGGTGATGCCCCCCTCCTCCTTCCCGGCCCCTGTGGACCAGCCAGGGGGCTGGGAGTGAAGGTCACAGAAAAGACTTTCGGCTCAGACTCAGTTCACCCAGCAGTTTCTGCCTGAACTTCCATCCCCCAACTTTATCTTAGAATTTCCCTGGGGAGGGAGTGGGGCCAGTTCTCAGGGCTCCTGGCTGGAGAAAAAAAACAGTCCCCAGTCCCAGGTCACCCCTCCTTCCCAACCCACCCAGGGGAGGCTAGGGACTGCTATGGGATGAGGGGCTTCCCCAGACGCTGTGTGCTGGGCCCCCAGCCTGGAGAGGTGGAGGAGGGGTGGGTGGATAGCCTGGGTGCCCTGAGAGGGTGCCGAGTGTGGGGTGGGGCAGGCCGGAGCCCTCCTGACCTCTGTGGAATGGGGCCATACACTGGGAGAGGCATCTCTGTGTTGAGCGCTCATCAGGAGGCTTGTGGAGTACGCGGGGAGAGGAGGGCCCCTTGGAGAGCCAGCTATGAAATGAGTGTGCTGCATGGCTCCAGAGCCCTGGTTTTGAGTCTGGGTTTGTCCCTTCCTTGGCTGCATGACTGGGAAGGTCAGTAGCATCTCCGGGCATTGGGGATGGGACCCCATCTTTGGGGCCGCCTTGAGCTCATGCTCTCTTTTCTCCTGGGGGCCGAAGCCTCCCACCCTTAACTGTGTTTGTAGCACCTTGGGGGACGGGGGCGTGGAGTGAGGGGCTGAGCTATCCCCAAGGTCCCCTTCCTTCCCCCACAGCCAGGGTCCCTCACCCAGTTGGGAAAGCCCCTGAAGTTAAATAGCAAGAGACAAACACAGTGTACGGGGGCAGTGGGGTGGCAGGTGGAGGTGGCCAGAGGGGACGAGGGGACATGCGCACCATTGAGTTCAGTGGTCAGGTGGGATGCACCACAGGCTCCTGAGCTTTACCACCCTGCCCCAGCCACCATGTATGCCTGATGGCAGCAGGGGCCCCATCTGACCAGGTTCAAATCCCAGCTCTACGCCCTTCTTGCCTGGGTAAGAGGCTGACCTGTGCCTCAGTCTTCTCATCTGGCTAAAAGGAGGAATACTAGAGCCTCCACATGGGGCTGTTGGGGGGTACTAAATGCTGAACTACCCCCGAGAGCTCAGGACAGAGATGGAGCAGGCACCAGTCCCTGTTTGCATCAGCATCTCACTGGCAATCAGATGGCTGGGGTCAGCCGCTCTGAGCTTCAGTTCTGGCATGGATCAAATTGGGAGGGGCGAGACCCACCTTGCAGGGTTGTGGTGAGGACATAGGCGTCCGTGGGTGTGACAAGTTTTGAGTTATGAAAGACAGGGCACATGTGGGTATGCCTGAGGACCCAGGCGAGGGAGCTCTGGACTTGAGGCCCTGTGCTCCACTTGCTGTCACCTGAGGCTGGGCTTCTTTCACCATGCGAGCTTGAGTGGGATCCTTGGCCTCCCTGAGGCTCAGCTTCCCCTTTGCAGAATGAGGGTGCAGCCTCAGTGACTGCCAAGCACCCCCTCAGCCCTGAGCCCCTCTGGCACCCCCACACCGTCCTCCCCTGGACTTTGCTCTGTCTGTGCATCGCTGCAGCCCAGGCGGCGGGAAGCAGACTCCGGACGGCACTTTCTCTGCCTGCCTGGCTGCCTCTAGGCTGGGCCTGTGGTTTGCCCCTAATCTTCCTTTGACCTTGTGCCCCTTTGTCCCCCGCCACCTTCCTCCCACCCTGGGGCTCTCTGAAGGTCCTGTCCTGGGCATGGGGTCATCCTGAGGCTGGGCCCTCCCTGAGGCAACCAGGGGGACCCCCACACAAAACACTGGTGGTGCCCTTGCCCTTGCCAGGCTGGCATGATTAAGCATGAAGGGGCACAGGGGCTGTGGGAGTCCGTCCCCTGGTTGGGCTCTCAGGGGCTGTGGGAGTCCCCTGGTTGGGCTCTGCACTCTTTGGGGTCCCAGCCCTGTGCCCTCTGGGGGCTGTGACCTCCTGTGCTACTGGGGGATCCCAAGAAAGAGGTGAGCAGCCTCCACCCTGGAGAGATCATGCTCCCGTGGAGGTGATGGGCCAGGCTAGGGCAAGCCCATGGTACCCAGGACATGCACCTGCTGGTCTGTCTGTGCCCTGCTGGGCCCTGACTCCCAGGGCAGGGAGGGTGGCAGCCTCACCTTTGGGACCAGTGTCTGGCAGGGTGGGACAGCATGAGGGAGTGAGCCTGGAATCCCTGCTCCACCTCTTGCTGTGTATGAGATCCTGGGCAAGTTAGGGGCTTGGAGTCTTAGTTTCCTCATCTGTGTAATGGGATAATAAAGCCATTGGGCAGCTTATGTGAGGCTGTTGGGCATACGTGAGGCACTTGGCCCCAGGCCTGGCACAGAGTAAGTGCTCTGTGCGTATGACGAGTATTAGTAGGTCACCAGTGCGTGTTTACCGTCGTGTGAGCTGTTGTGGTGGGAAGACGCGTCCGGGGAGTTCCCGGGGGGAGGATCCCTGCCTGGGAGCTGGGCAGTCTGCCCTGGCTCAGATTCCGGAAGGGCATCTTATCCGCTGCATGACCTTAGGCAATGTACTTCACCTCTGTGTGCCTCAGTTTCCTCACTGGGAAATGGAGATAAGAGTACTGCCACCAGAGGCCCTTACTGCAGCATTTAGAGATGTAAGTGGAGCCTGGCATACGGTAACCTGTCAGCCAATAGTTTTGGTGTGGTGAAGGGGGTGGCAAGCAGTGTGGAGGTGGGTTCTGATCCTGGCTCTGTGCTGGGCTCCTGATGTGACCTTTAGCAAGTCTGTTCCATTTCTGGACCTCAGTGTCCCCAGATGTAGAACAAGGGACTGGGCTTGCTCAGAGAGCCTTTGCAGCTCTGACAATGTGTGGGCCTCTGATTCTCATTCCTGTGACATCTGCCTTGGGAGATGGAACCTATGGCTCCCGGGGCCAGGGCGCAGGTCCCTGCTCCGTGCCGGCTATGACATAGAACCCATGGCTCTTGGGGCCAGGGCGCGGGTCCCTGCTCCGTGCCGGCTACGACGTAAGCCGTGATACAACCCAGGGCCACCCAAAGCGCTCTGCTTTTTTTTGCAGTACTGAGGCCTCTGACCACACGCATTCATTTTACTGCATTTATTGAGCACCAACTGTGTGCCAGGCCCTGTGCCCAACAGTCCCAGGAGTGAGTGCCCTGCTGGTCCAACCCCTGGCCAATGCTGCCCTGCTACCAGCCTAGAGAAAGGAACAAGGCGCTGTTTGAAATGGGTTTGAAGGATGGCAGGATCTGCAGGGGACCCAGGGAAAGGATGGACTTGGGAAGGACCTTTGGAAGACAAGTGTCAGTCTCCTGGCCACCTGGAGCCACTGGCTTGTGCAGGTGGGTAGGTGCAGTGTGTGTGTGTGCTTCTGCTCGGGCATATGCTCCTGCTTCTGTAAGGGCAGAGCCTGGAAATTTTGCTGATCTCGTCCCGGTCCCAGAAAGCCTCGAAAGTGGGAAGTTACACTTTGGTTGCAACAGGGCCACTGCGGGTTTCTGGGCAGGGAGGTGGGTAGTTGGACTTCAGGGAATGCAGGTGACAGCCTGCCGATGGGGTGTTGCCATCACCCAGGCTAGTACAGCACGGAGCTGGCCTGGTGAGGGTGAGGAAGAGACAGCAAGTGGCCATCGGACTGTCCTCCTGTGTATGGAGTGTCCTGGCTGGCTAGGTATAAGGACAAAGGTTCCCTGAAAGAGGAAGGGTACAATTGTCCCAGACCTGAACGTCAGATGGGAGAAGAGCTGGGGATGAGCTGGGTTTGTGCTTTGGACACAGGAGCAACCCCTTTGAGGGGTCCTGCAGACCATCAGGAGAGATGTGGGGGCTTGGGGCTGAGCTGCAGAAAGACCCTTGGAAGCTGAGGGCTGAGGCCATTGAGAGACAGAGAGAGAAGGGAAGGGGAGTGAGAGCTTGAGGTGCGAACTGCTGGAGAGGGAAGAACAGGAGGCAACAAAGCCCAGTGCCTAGGGGCCTTGGAAGCTCTCGGGGTGGGAAAGCAGGAGGAAGGGAGAGCACCTCCTCCCCAGCTCTCGACTCATCTGCTCCTTTCCCCTCTGCCCCCGCCCCTCTGACTGGGGCCACCCTCGTCTTTCCCTGGAAGCCCCCTCCTCATCTCCCTGCCTGCCCCTTTGCCTACTCCAACCAACTCTCCTGGCAGCAGTCCCCTCACCTTCCCGGAGTGGCCCAGTGCTCACTTTCACATTCCCCTCCACACCCCCAGCCGCTGCAGGGGGTGGGAGCAGCCACATTTCTTGGTTGGCCGTTTCCCCTGTGACAGTGGGGGTCGCCTCACCTGCATGCTGAACGGAGCTTCCATGGTGGGCTAGAGGCTCCCTGGGAAGAGGCGCTGGCAGACACTGTTTCTTACTGGGCCTCAAATGAGTCTCCTTGGCAGGAGAGCAGCATCTTGGCTGAAGTGGGAAGGTGGTTCCCCAGGTGCCAAGGGCCATGGCGGCAGGCACTCCCGGGTGCAGATCCTGGAGAATAGGAACAGGGAAGGTGACCTGGACTGATGCCTGTAAAAGCACCGGCCATGCTTGTAATCCCAGGACTTTGGGAGGCCAAGGCGGACGGATCACCTGAGGTTGGGAGTTCGTAGACCAGCTTGACCAACATGGAGAAACCCTGTTTCTACCAAAAGTACGAAATTAGCCAGGGTGGTGGCAGGCACCTGTAATCCCACCTACTCAAGAGGCTGAAGCAGGAGAATTGCTTGAACCTGGGAGGTGGAGGTTGTGGTGAGCTGAGATCGCACGATTGCACTCCAGCCTGGGTAACGAGTGAAACTCCGTCTCAATAAATAATAATAATAAAAAAAAAAACAGAAAGAGAAAGAAAAGAAAAAGCACCAGCCAGGGGCCAGTGTGTGTAATAGAAACTCTGGAAAACTTAGAGATTTCATGTCTCTTTCCTCCCTGGGGAATAACCTGGGTGACCAACCTGGTCCTGCCTCCAGGGAGCTTCCAGGCAGGTAGGGGAGTACAAGCGTGTACAAGGTCCTCTATAGAGGCTACTGCAGCTGCAGCCCTCTGTGCCTCAGTTTCCCCTATACTCTAGGGCTCTTCAGTCTTGAGGTCAGAGCTCCTATCTGCTTTTCCGCGTTCATGTCCCAATGCCTTCACACCATTGCCTCAACTCCCTTGAGGGAGAGCGAGGGGCTGAAGCAGGTGCTAGCCTCGGAGCCCCTCCGGAAGCCCCTCTGCCTGCTGACTTTAGCTCGCTCTGTTTTTATTCCATCACTTGTTTGTTCAAGAATTTTTTTTTGCCAGATGCCTACTATGTGCTGGGCACTGTTCTAGGAATTGCGGACCTCACAATGAACAAAACACAAAAATTCCTGTCCTCAGTGAGCTTGCGTGACTCTGTGTGTGTCTGTGAAGAGAGAGAGAGGGAAACAAAATCAGTCAATAGACAACAAATAAATAGTGCCATGATAAAAATGCGGGGGTATGGTGGGTAGGGTACTTCTTTATGCAGTCTAGTCAAGGAAGACCTCTCGGAGGAGGCGACAATGGAGCAGAAACTTGAAGGAAGGCTGTGAGCTATGCGTGGGGCAGTGGGATGAGCAGGTACAAAGGCCCTGGGGCTGGACTGAGCTGGCACAGGACAGTGCAGACCATGCATACTGAGGGGGCGGCCCAGTTTGCCTCTGGGGACAGCAAGGTCTGGGGTGTGTATTTATGTGGACTCTCTCTCCCTCCTCTCCCCCAGGGCTTCCTTCCTCGGCTCCACCCTGTGGATGTAATGGCTGCTCCTGCTCTGTCCTGCTGTCTGCCCCTCCTCACCCTCCTCCTGTCCCTGCCGACTCCTTGGGCATCTGAAGCAATGAACGGTAAGGACGCTGGCATCTGGACAGCTGTGCTTTCCCTAGGGGAGGTGGCTAAGACCCTGCTAAAGCCTCTTCACAGAAGGAAAGGAGGGAGAGGTAATGGGGCTGCCTCCTGCCTCACCCTCTGTCCTGGACCCCCACCCTGACACGTGTGCCCAAACGCACACATGCACGCGCGCATGCACACACACACACGCCTCTCCAAGTCACAGGCACGTGCTGCTTTCTGTCCCTGCCCTGCCTTAGCTTGCCTATGGGAACTTGCAAGCTCTGGGGCTCCATTTCCTCCCCTCTAAAGTGGGCTCATGAATCCCTTCTCCACTAGTCAGAGTTACCCGCCTCCTCCTCCGGCAGACGTGGGGGCCAGGTGCAGGGGCAGTGGCATGTCTCAGGGGGCCGTGGGCACTGCAGTCAGCACTCACACCTCCTCTGCCCGACAGGCACCTCCCAGCTCACATGCTTCTACAACTCGAGAGCCAACATCTCCTGTGTCTGGAGCCAAGCTGAGGCTCTGCAGGACACCTCCTGCCAAGTCCAGGCCAGACCAGACAAACGGTGAGTATGTTCTCCTGGCCACACTGCAGAATCCTAGGATGGTGGGAGCTCACAGTCTGGATCCTAGGCATCAGACTCCAAGGAGTCTGCATTTACAGAATCTTGGATTAATAGGACCCACAGACAGTTTGAATCACAGGAGGTGGGACCCAGGCCTGGAATCAAGGGATCATTTAAGAGATTTGGGAAGTCAGCTATTTAGACTTCTAGTACCTGGGTGGAGTCCAGGCTGCAGTGGAGGGGCTGGGGATGAGCTAGACAGGGAGGTTTGGGGACACTGAGCTACAAGCCTGCTGTGCCAAGGCCGGACTCCACTCTAGAGGCAAGCGGAGAGGAAGTGGGGAGAAACAGGGGTCCCCAAGCATTTTGGGCAGTCTCAGATTTTGAGAGACCCTGTGGGCAGCCATGGGGACAGGGAACCTGGGAGTGGCTAGGGTACCTGGGGGCTGGGGGACAGATGTCACTGTGACGTAAACATCCAGGCAGCCGGTGAGTGAGGGACTGACCCCAGGTAGGCTTGATGCGGTCAGGGAGAAGAGGAAGGCTACAGAGAGGGGGCTGGGCCCAGGTAGATCCCGTGGGGTGTGGGGTAGGGAAAATGGGAAGGGGGAGGGAGGGCCAGGGCGGGTTGGGGTCCTGGCTTCTGGGTGAGTGGTGACTCCACAGGGCTCTGAAGGCCTAACTAAGAACCTGAGCCTCAGGGAGCTTTGGAGGATCCCTCACCCCAGCCTGTGCTGACCTGGTTTGTTTCCAGATGACTGCAGGTGCCTTGGGACCAGGCTGGGGTGAGGGGCAGGACAGTTGCCCATGTGGGAGGAGTACCGGGAGTCAGAGTGGGAGGTGGCACCCCTCATGGAGGTTGGCACAGGGGCCCTAGCCCGGTCTTGCTGCATGGAGCCATCCTGGCAGCAGAGAGATCTTAGAAGGTTGCTTGGGCCAGCTCTGTGGGTCCTTCCCGTTCTTCTAAGGAGGTGCTTTTGCCTTGAAAGGCGGTGGAACCAAACCTGTGAGCTGATCCCTGTGAGCCAGGCATCCCGGGCCTGCAGCCTCATCCTCGGACCCCCGGATGTGAGTAGCCCACCCAGGGAGAGAGTGCAGGGAGAGGGTGGCCTCTCAGCTCCAGGCTGCAGTCTCAGGGTGGGCCCGATGCAGGGGAGGAGCTGGAGCCCAAGGTGTGGGCTCAGGGCTGCCCCAGGGCTGAGGGAGCCTTCGTCTGTGAGGCATCCGCCACTCTGCCTCTGCTCCCACTGTCTCCCCTGTGCTTTGAGGGTCCTATGACACTTGTGTTCCTTATCAAGTAAGATGGCCCCCGGTAACTAATCATGACCACACCTGCTCTTCCCAGAGTCTTGCAGTGCAGCGCAGTGTGGGGGTGAAGGCTGCAGACTCAGGAGCTGGATGCTCCAGGTCCGACTCCACCTTATGCCTGCTGGGTGACACTGGGCAGCCCCTGCGCCCCGATTTCCCCTTCTGTAGAATGGGCATTATAATGGTACCTACTTGCTTGGGTCAAGGCCCAACAAAGGCTTTGTCGTTCAGGACCTCCTGGGCCTGAAGGTGGGACCTCACCAGGGACCCGCCCCCTTCTGCCCAGGCTGCTTGGGCCAGGGGCACCTGCAGGCCAGTGCCAAGCTGTTCCCAGTGCCCCCTGGGCTTCTCAAAGTCTGGCGGGCAGAGGGGCCGAGGCAGCCGGGGCCAGTGAGTCAGTGCTGCCCCGAGCTTGCGCATGTCTGGCCTGGCTGTGGCAGCGCCTGGGCTTGGCCTTGCTCTGAGTGGGCATGGGAACAGGGAGAGGCCAGACAGTGGGAGCAGATACCCCTAAGCCTGTGGGGGCAGCAGGGGTCCTCTTGGGGACCCCGAGAGCACAGAGATGCCTGGATCCAGGCTTGGGTGGCTGCAGCTGCACCAGGGGAGCTCCTGGCTACTTTGGAAGGGGCAGGAGTCCCTCTTGTCCTCAACTTGCACTGGATCCATGGAGCGTGCAGCCCTGGCTGTGCCTCCAGGATCGGATCGGGTGCCAGAAGCAGGGAAGAGGCCAGACAGTGGGAGCAGACACCTCTAAGCCTGCAGAAACGGGGGATCTTCCCAGCCCCTGAGAGTGCAGGGACTCCTGGGTCCACAGCAGCTTGGGCGGCTGCAACTGTGCCCAGGAGGGCAGGTGTCCTGCCTACTCCCTGCTTGCAAGAGCACCTGGAGGCTTGGGTTTCTACCCGGGACCCTGAGAGTGCAGGGACGCCTTGTTCTGCAGCTGTGACTTGGGCAGCTGCAGCCGCACCCAGGAGAGTGGGGGCTCCTGCCTGATTGCAGCCCCCAAGAGCACCAGGAGGCTGGGGTCCACAGCCAAGACTTGGGCAGCTGCAGCCGTGGCCGGGAGGGTAGGGGTCCTACCTGCTCCATGGAGCAGGAGGCCCCAGCTACACCTCCCCGCTGCAGCCAGGGTTTTAGCAGCGGCCACTCTAGACAGGCAGCTGCGCCCTTCCCCTGCAGTCCCATGGGCGAACATCAGCACTGTCCCCTTCTTACCAGTGAAGACACTGAGGCTCAGAGAGGTATGGTCCCTGCCCAATGTCACACAGCCAGGAAGTGCGGAGCTGGGATCGAACCCAGGCATGCGGGCTCCCAGCTCGGGCTTTTGACCATTGCATTAAGCTGCCTCTTGCCTCTTTCTCAATACCTGGCCATGTCCGTGTGGGTGTACATCAAATTATTTTCTGTCAAAGCCTCCTGGGCAGCAGCGGGCTCCGAGGACACCCAGACCACATCTTCCACCACCATCAGGTTATATGTATTCTTGAGGGGCAGGAGAGTGTGGAGATGGAGTCCCACAGTGGAGCTGATAAACTCACAGCCTCTGGAACCCAATGCTGTGTCCCGGCAGGGAGCCCTGTAGGTGGCCTGGTTTCTGATCCTGGCTCCGCTATTTCTAGCTGTGTGATCTCAGGCAAGCCCCTAAGCCTCTCTGTGCTTCAGTCTTCTCAGCTATAGGGTGGAAATAGTAGCAGTGCCTGTGCCCAAGGGTGCTGAGAGAATTAAATGAGATAATATATGTAAAGTGCTCTGAAGGGCCCCTGGCGCTCAGGAGAATGTATGATGGCAACATTTTTACAACAATGATAATAGGAATAATAATGATGAGACTGTATTATGTGGGAAAATCTAGCCCCCAGAGCAGCTATGAGAAGGCTAGGACAGGATCTATGGGGTGGAGAGGAACTGGCCAGCTTGGGGAATTCTAATGACCAGGGTCCAGGTTTGCTCATCGTGGGTCTTACGCAGGTCAGAGGGACTGTGCCCAAGGTCTTGGCCCTGAAATCGGCATCCTGGACCTCAAATCCTAACAGGCCTGCACTAATGCTTCTCAGATCCAGGCCTCTGGTCCAGATGTGGCTATGGACCTAGGCGTCCCTGCACTCTCAGGCTCTGGGAAGATTCCCCCTGCCTCCGCTGGCTCACAGGATCTATGGGGGCAGCAGCTCCCACTGCCTGGCCTCTTCCCTGCTTCTGGTACCCGATCTGATCCTGGAGGCACACCAGGCCTGCATGCTCAGTGGATCCTGCACTAGACCTCCCCTAAGCCATTCACTCGGCAGCCCTCTGTCAGGCATGGCGGTCCAGGACTCGGAGACGCAGTCATGCTGCAGGAGGACCAGAGGGCCTGCGTTTAAACCTGGGCTCCCCTGCTGTCCAGCTGCATGACCTCAGGCATGTCCCTTGACCAGCCCAAGCCTCAGGCTTCCCACCCACCCCATGGGATGGATGCTGTGTGCATTGAGGGGCTGGGGCGTCTGAGCAGCGCCTGCTCACAGGAGATGCTCAATACCTGGCCGTTTTCTTGCAGGAAATTCAAAGCGTAGGGATGGGGAGAGGTGGGGCAGGAGAGGGCCTTTCACACTCAAAAATGTTAAACGGGTACAATTCCAGACCTGTACCTTTGTAGGGGCTTATCAGCTTGCACGCCTCCTGTGACAGGGAGCTCACTCCCTCTCAAGGTAGTTCAAGGTACCTCTCAAGGTAGCTCAAGACCTAACCTGATCATTTTAGATCAGGCTTTGGTAAACTACCTTGACCCATGGGCTACATCCAACCCACTGCCTGTGTTCGTAAATAAAGTTTTACGGGAACATGGCCCTGCTATTCATTTAGATGTTGTCTGTGTCTGCTTCACACTACAGTGATGAAGTTGAGTCTTCATGACAGAGACCACGTGGCCTGTAGAGCGACTAGTAAATAGTCGCTACATATGGCCTTTTATAGAAAACGTTTGCTGACTCTGCTTTGGGTGGTGGGGTGTGTGGAGAAGCTCCCATTCTCCCCTGGTCATCCTGGTGGCCTCCCCCCTCCCCCACCCCCAGCTGCCAGAAGCTTCACTCCTGCTCTCCTTCTCCTGCAGTCTCAGAAACTGACCTCAGCGGACACTGTCAACCTGAGGGTGATGTGCCGTGAAGGGGTGCGGTGGAGGATGATGACCACTCAGGACTTCGAACCCTTTGAGAACTGTGAGTGAGGAAGCCAGGCTGGGGCTGGGGCAGGGCTGAGCACCTCCTTCCCTCCACCTCCTCTGGGATCCTCCCTGCTCCAGCCTCTCCCCCGCAGCTTCCACACCTACATCTGTCCACCTCACTGCCTGCTGTTCTCGGGATGAAGTCCTGGCTCCTTACTCTGGCATTCAAGGCCACTCAGGATCCAGCCCTGGGCCTCCTCCCTAGCATTCCTCCTCTTGAGGCCTATATTTCTGCTTCAACCGAAGGCCTGCTCTCCACATCCACCTTGCCTACCCATGCCTCTGAGCCCTTGTACATGCCAGTTCCACTGCCTGGAAGGCACTTTACACCTGGAAAATTCCCACTCATGCTTCAAGGCTTAGTCGAGAGCCACTTCCTCCAGGAGGCCTTCCTAGACTTCCCTAGCTCTTTCAGGGACTGTCTGTCCTGGGTTGTCACTGCCTTGATTGTAGGTCTCTTTCACTGGGCTGTGGGCACCCTGAGGGCAGAGTCTCTGCCACCCCTGTGTCTCCTTGCCAGGCACCCAGCACTAGGTCTCATCAGGAAAGCACTTTGGGAAGGTTTGTTGAATGCCCGAGTGCCTGCCTGCTGGTCTCGGGGGGCCATATCCAGGGAAGCAGTGGGGTAGAAAGAGAGTCAGGCCTGAACTGGATGCGATCTGACTGGCAGACCGTCGGACCTGTCTGAGCCTGAGTTTTGGGGAGAATCGGAGTCACCGACCCCACAGGCTTGTAAGGCATTTTTGAAACAAGACACAGAAACTGCTTACCATGCAGTCAGCACTCAACATCTGCTTAGAAGTGTAGAACCGAGACTCACTTAACTTCAGAATCACACGGTGTTATAATCATCACACTTCAAATAAGTGAGATGATCCATGTAAAGCTCTCAGGTCAATTCTAAGTGCAGAGAAAAGCTGCCGTGAGCCATTCATTCAGCAGATACTGAATGAAATACCAGGTAATATTCCAGGCGTCAAGGACACAGCAGACAACCAAGTCCCTGCCCTCAAGGAGCTCACAGTCTGCTGGGGGAGACAGAAAGTGAACAAAGAAACCAAACCATCTATTTCTTAGGGCAGTGTGGAGATAAATGAGCCCTGGGAATAAAGATTCGGCAGGCAAGGGGGATGCCGAGTGGGGGGTGCTCAGGGAGGGCTTCTCTGAAGAGGATCATTGAGAGGATCCTGGAGGCAGGGAGGGAGCGGGCCCCAGGGCTCTGGGCATGGGGGTGGTAGGACATGCCAGGAGGGGGGAGTGTCAGGTGCCAGGCTTGAGGTGGAGGTCATGCCTGGCTGCTCTTCCTTCCCCACTCCTGTCTCCAGTTCGCCTGATGGCCCCTATCTCCCTCCAAGTCGTCTACATGGGGACCCACAAATGCAACATAAGCTGGGAAATCTCCCAAGTCTCCCACTACTTCGAAAGAAAACTGGAGTCGGAGGCCCGGATGCTGTCCCCAGGCCGCACCTGGGAGGTGAGAATGTGGCCCAGTCCCCAGTTGCTCTGATTCCTCCTTCCTGTCCTGGTCCATGTCCTGTCCCTTTGTCATTTTGATGAGATCCCGTCAGCCCCAGGTGGATGGATGGTGAGTGACTGAGTCCAGTCCTGTGCTCTTTCTGCCCTGCCTGGGGCAGCCTCCCCTCCTTCCATGTCCTCCTTATCTAGCCCCCTTAACCCTGGGGATCCAGCTGGCAGCAAGTTCCAGGCTGACACCAGGGAAAGATTGAGACAGCCAGGAGGCAGGCAGCTGCCCAGCCCCGTGGGCTTTCAGAGGCCAGGGAACCACCCTCCATGCATCCAAGCCCATCTGCTCCACATCCCCGCAGGTCTATTGGTCATTCATTCACCTTATACTCACATCTTTATTCACTCAATTACTCACTCAACAAATATTTGCTGAGCACCTACTATGTGCTGGATGATGGGGAGAGAGCGGAGGGTGAACTCAGCAAAATTCCACTCTCAGGAATCTCATGCTGGGGCGGGGCAGGCAGGCAGTCAGCAGACGCATCAACAGGCTCTGGGATAGTGACTGCATGGGGTAGTGACAAGTTCTATCAGGAAAACCAAACGGGGCGAAGTGTTTGAGAATGACGGGCACAGGCTATTTTAGACTCAGGCGACCAGGGAAGGCCTCGCTGACACCTGGGGATCCAGAAGAGCTGACCTGCAAAGATCTAGGAAGAGTTTTGCAAACAGAAGGACCTGCCATGCAAAGGCAGGATGGCGCCATGTGTCTGGGGAGCAGGAGGAGGCAAAATGAGCCACCCAGGGTGGGAGGGCTATGTGGAGATGCCCTGCTTTCTGGTCCTCTGGAGAATAGACTGCAACGGGGCATGGGTGGGAATCAGAGGGCAGCTGTAGGCGTGGGAGAGGGAGGCAGCTCAGGCCTGGGTGGGTACAGGGGGAAGAGAAGTGAAGCGGATGGTTCTAGAATGGCTCTCGGGGTGGAACTGGGTTCTGAGGGTGGAACCAGGCTCGAGGCGGAACCGGGCCCTGGGGGCAGAACCAGGTTCTGGGGGCAGAATGGGGCCCAGGGGGCGGAACCGGGCTCTGGGGGTGGCACCAGCTGATCAGCTTGATGGCTTAGGCTTTAGGGGATGAACCTGGGGTTTGAAGCTCCAGCAACTGGGTAGTGGGGTAGTGAGGGGGCTTTGGGTGGGAAGGGAGTGGGGTGCAGCTGGCAGGGGGTGAGGGGGGTGCTGCGGTGCTCAGCCTCCTGGCCTTGCCATGGAGGTGAGGTAGGCTCTGACAGTTCTATCTCTGCCCCAGGAGGCCACCCTGCTGACCCTCAAGCAACAGCAGGAATGGATCTTCCTGGAGATGCTCACCCCAGACACCCACTATGAGCTTCAGGTGCGGGTCAGGCCTCTACGAGGCAAGCACACGACCTGGAGTCCCTGGAGCCAGCCCCTGACCTTCAGGACGAGGCCTGCAGGTACTGGCAGGCAGCAAGGGTGGGAGGGGGCTCAGGCAGGAGGTGTAGGGCTGATGGCCCCACAGGGTCATGGGGTGAGCCTTATGCTGTGCTGAGGCGCAGGATCCGAGAAATAAAGAGACAGGGCAGAAGTACAAGGAAAATGCAGCTGGGCTCGGGGCCACGCCACCTACGAGTGGAGTCAGGTGAGGCCCCGAAGGTCCAGAAGCATGAGTATTTATTGTGTATAGGTTAGGGGGCAGGGCAGTGAGTGAAATCATCTTTAAGGATAGTGATAGGGTCGTGAGCAATAAAACATGGGGTCCACCCCCATTAGGTCACCGAGGCTTGAAGGTGGGCCGTGCGCAGTAAAGAGGGTGGGTGCAGTGTGCAATACTTCTATCTATGGGCAAACTACTTCTAAGAAGATTTATAGGAAGATGCTTTAAGTCACATGGCAGTGACAGAGCTGTCAGGGTTACTGCCACCTTCTGGCAGCTTCCAGTGGGTTCTATGGGAAGATGCTTTTCAAGCAGCACAGTAGCAAGAGCTGATAAAGGTCACAGTCACCAAGGTGGATTGCCGGTCTGAGGGCAGTCTTCCACAAGAACTGGGGCAAGGTCCTACAACTCCTTTATCAGGAGGAGTGGCTCTCGCCCCAAGCCTGCCATACAGCGGGTATCTTTGCGATACTGAACGCTGCCGCCTGGGCCATGGATTCTTGTCCTGGTATAACTGTTTTTCCCTTATATCATGCTCTGCACTGTGTCTGCTCCAGGCATTCCTCCGATTATAAGCCGCTTATCCCTTAATTCATGCTCTGTACTGTGTCCACTCTAGGCATTCCTCCGATTATGAACTAAGATATAATTATAGGTATATATATATAGGGAGATATTCTTTAGGCACTCATACTATCAACTATTATATGATTCTATATAGAGGATCAGATATTTCTATAAACTAATATATGATTATGTAAAGGATTACATAAAAGGAAATAGCTGAGTAGTAACACTATAAAGTGAGATATTCCTCAGGCCCTAACTGTGCCAGGGTTCTGCTCAGCTCTCATTCCTCGGTGCCTATATGGGGGTTTACCCACAGGAGGGGTGGCTGGGGATGGCCCTGGGGGTGGCTGGGAGAGAAGCTGCTCCGTTCTCTCCCTGCCTGGGGTGAGGGTATAGTGGTCAGCTCCAACCCTCACTTGCTGTGACTCTTCAGGGGGCCCGGTTTTCAGACAGGAATGGGATTCAGTGAGGGTACCAGGCTTGCCATGGGCCCTGTGAGTTAGGGAGGGGTAGAAAGTCTCTTTTCACTTCTCTCCACCCTGAAATGTCAAATGCCCGGTTTCTGCTGGGGCTGGGGGTGGCTGCTTTCACCTCTCAGCCTCATCTGTGAAATGGGTATGGTGACAGCGAGGCAGGCCTGCTGTGAGGAAGGTGTGTGATGCCCCTGGAGCCTGGACCTCAGCAGGTTTGCTGGGCACCTGTCCCTCATCGCATCACATTTTGAGTTCAAGTGCAAGCAAGACCTGGGGTCCTCTAAGTGGTGCTTGGAGGAAGGTGGAGGGAGGGGTGCAGCCAGGTGGAGCCCAGGCTACTGTGGGGGCAGTGGGCTTGCAGGTGCGCCCATGGGATCCATCTGGAGCTAAGGGAGCTTTTGGAAGGCCACCGTGTCATTTCTTTTTAGCATCAAATCTGGCTTCCCAGAGAGGACAGACCCTGTCTGTCCCCAGCTCCCCAGACACAGGCCTGCCTGGCAGGGCCCTGGACCAGGGTGTTGGAGTGACCCAGGGTGAGTGGGGGTGCTTCTCTAACCCCTCTCCTTGCTGTTTCTCCCACTGATGGGTAGCCCCTGGGAAGGACACCCTCCCGTGGCCCGGACACCTTCTTGTGGGCCTCAGTGGGGCCTGTGGCTTCGTCATCTTGGTCTACTTTCTGGTCAACTGCAGGAACACTGGACCATGGTAAGAAGGTTCTCCTCCCCTTCCTTTGTGCTCCCACCCCAACATGTGCACACATGTACACACACATGCACACACATGCACATGTACATGCAAGCACACTCACAGGCACACACACGCACACATATGCACACAAATTCACACACAAGCACAATGCATGCACACACCCATGAACACACACGCACATGCACACACGTATACATATACACTCCCACTCCAACATGCACACATGTGCACACACGTACACATGCACACTCCCACCCGAACATGCACACGTGCACACACACACAGTCACATGCACACACGTGCACGCGTGCACACACATGTACATACTCCTACCCCAACACATACATGCACACATGTGCACACATGCACATGCACACACACAAACACAAATGCACACACACATACACACACACACCACCTTGCCGGGTCAGATTCTAGACTGAGGCCCCTGCTCTGATAAACTGCTTCCTCTTCCTTTCAGAGAGTCCTCCCTGTCCAAAACCTGGCCTTTCCCTGTGTCCGGTCTTCACAGAGGAAACCTGTGGAACCAGCCTGAGGGGAAGGTGGGAAGTGCAGCCCTCCAGGGAGTGCCCTGGGGTCCTGTTCAGAGCACTGCTCTCAGGACTGGGGATGCCTGTGTGCACATGTCGGCCGTGTCTGTGTCTGGGTCCCTGCTGGTCCCTCTCGGTCTGACTGTCATTGACTTGTTCCCATATGCACTGAGTACCAGCTGCATGCCAGGTACAGCTAAGCGTGCTGGGAACGGTGGCAGGCCATAGGTGTGTGCCCCAGCTCCGTGCAGCTCACAGCCCAGAGGGGAAGACAGACAATCACGCAGGTGTGTAACGACACACCAGGGTCAGGATGGCAGAGGAGGGTGCCGATGTGTTGCCATCCCTCAGGGTCCATGGAGAAGTGGTTCCAGGACCCCACTCCCCGCCCTGCCGCAGATACCAAAGCTGGTGGATACTCAAGTCCCTGACGTTTTTTTTCTTTTTGATGGAGTGCTGCTCTCCTGACCCCCGTCCTGGATCGTGGTTATTAGCGGTGTTCAGAGCCTGTTTCCCCTTTCCTCCCAGGAAGACAGGCATTCCTCCACCCACCCGTCCCCTCCCCCAGCTCCCTGCTGGCTTTCAAGGGAAATGATGGCCCTGCAGGGTGAGAGGTCCTCTCCCAGGCATGGGTTCAGTGGCCTCCAGGCTGCCCTCCTCCTTGTCGTTCTTGTGTCCCTTCAGTCCTTTCTTGACCATGTCATTCTCCTGTTTAATGCTCTTCAGAGGCTGCCCACTGCACCGAAGTGCACCCTGGCCCTTGAGGGCCTCCACCAGCCATGTGGAACCTTTGTGCAACTAAAAAATGGTGCCTCTTTCTTCCAGGCACTCAGCCTGGCAAGCAGAACATGGGCTAGAATTCAGCCTCACTCACCACCACCTCTCCTCCCTGCCCAAGCCTCATGCCCTTGGGCAGTGCACAACCTGAACCATCATCCATGGCAGCCCTGACAAGGAAGCTTCTCTCTTCTCTCCTTCCTTCTGGTTCACTCCACTGTTTCTGGCCATCTCCCTCCCTGACCCTCTCTCTGGCATGTGTGTTTGCCTCCACAGACCCCCGCCTCTCCGTCTCTGTCTCCACAGAAAGCATGTTGCACACATGCTTTGTATCTGTCTCCCCATCAGAATGTCGGCTCCTTGAGAGCAGGGACCTCCTTTGCTGGCCATTCTTGCCTCCTCAGTGCCTAACACAATGTCCTCCCACAGTGAGCACTCAGCCGGTATGGGCAGAATCCATACAGAAGTAAATGTGGCGTGGCTTCGTGCCCTGCATCCAGAGCTGTGGCGCTGACAGCAGGATGCCATGGCCCTTCCCATTCTCACCCTCCTTCCCTCCTCTCCTCTGTCCAGGCTGAAGAAGGTCCTGAAATGTCACACCCCAGACCCCTCGAAGTTCTTTTCCCAGCTGAGCTCAGAGCATGGAGGAGATCTCCAGGTAGGAGGCCGGGGTGGGGAGGCAGAGGAGGGCAGGGGTGTGAGTGGAGTGAGGGGGTGGCAGGGGAGTAGCTAATTTTGTGTTTTTCAAGAGGGGACAAAACACTGAAATGAGCAGCCTCCTGGGTGGGCGTGGGTCTTTTTTCCAGCTCTGGCACTTTCTGTCTGAGCCGGACCGTCTGCCAGCTCCCAGTTCTAATCCCAGCTCCACCACTTTCTGTCTGAGCCGGACCGTCTCCCAGCTCCCAGTTCTAATCCCAGCTCCACCACTTTCTGTCTGAGCCGGACCGTCTCCCAGCTCCCAGTTCTAATCCCAGCTCCACCACTTTCTGTCTGAGCCGGACCGTCTCCCAGCTCCCAGTTCTAATCCCAGCTCCACCACTTTCTGTCTGAGCCGGACCGTCTCCCAGCTCCCAGTTCTAATCCCAGCTCCACCACTTTCTGGTTGCATGACTTTGGGCCTTTCTCGGCCTCAGTTTCCTCACCTGTTAGATGGGGAGAAAAACAAACAGTGTTACTCTGTGTCCTGCCCTGAGAACATGGCCCGGCGCACAGTAAGTGTTCAAAAGGACCCTGTCTGGTATTACTGTTGCCAGTCTGCTGAACGAACAGCACCTGTCAGTGCAAGCTCTCTCCACCCTACGGTCTATGCACACAGGCCCTATGCTTCTCCTGTCCCTGCCCAAAATTCCTGAGCAGGCTCCGTAACTTAGCTCAGATGCTAACAAGTCTTCCGGTCACTTTGAATCACAAAACAGCGACCTCACTTTTTTTTTGAGACGGAGTCTCACTTTGTCACCAGGCTGGAGTGCAGTGGTGCAACCTCGGCTTCTGCAACCTCCGCCTCCCAGGTTCAAGTGATTCTCCTGCCTCAGCCTCCAGAGTAGCTGGGATTACAGCCATGCACCACCACACCCAGCTAATTTTTATATTTTTAGTAGAGATAGGGTTTCACCATCTTGGCCAGGATGATCTTGATCTCTTGACCTGGTGATCCACCTGCCTCAGCCTCCCAAAGTGCTGGGATTACAGGCATGAGCCACCTCGGCCACCCTGGTTCATTTTGAAAGTACTGGCTCACAGAGCAGTAACACTCTCAACTCCATTTTACATTCAGCCATCACCTCTTCCCCAGCCCATGCCCCTTCAGACAGGAAGCTTCAAGAGTGAAGAGGGGACATGTGGGGTGATTTGTACCACCCTAGTTCCACTCTAGGCTCCTAAGATTGGGGGGTGGCAATGAGGTAGGGGCAGAGGGAGGTCAAGAGGAGTGGAGGGGAGGAAAGCCGCGCTGGACCAGAGCTGTCACGCCCTGGCTTTGGAGTTCTCTATCAGGGCTGACCAAGGGCCCCTTCTGGAATTCCTTGGAAAACTGCTAGGATGAGAATATCTTAATTGCAGCATCTTTTTTTTCTTTTTTTTTGACATATGAAGTCTCACTCTGTTGCCCAGGCTGGAGTGCAATGATGTGACCTCAGCTCACTGCAACCCCTCTGCCTCCCAGGTTCAAGCGATTCTCCTGCCTCAGCCTCCCGAGTACCTGGGATTACAGGCGCACACCACCGCACTCAGCTAATTTTTGTGCTTTTAGTAGAGATGGGGTTTCACCATTGGCCAGGCCGGTCTCGAACTCCTGACCTCAGGTGATCCACCCACTTTGGCCTCCCCAAGTGCTGGGATTACAGGCATGAGCCACTGCGCCCGGCCATTACTTGCAGTACTCTTGGTGTGTTGGAATGTATCTCCTTAAAATTCTTCCCCCAGCCTTGAAGGTAGCAAGATTCCCATCTATAAGCCATGGCTGCCTGTGTGTCAAAAGCACGGTGGGAGAGATTCCCCACTGAACTGGTCGGAGGCTGGACTAGCTTAGCTGCGTGCTCAGACCCTTTCCAACTTCAAGCCCTGATTTTATGAAGTCCCGCTGTCCCGCACTCTGCTGTGTAGTCATTTCAGGTGTTCACATCGCCATTTGCTTACCTGACGTCTCCCTGGTGACCTGATGGGTGACAGCAAGGAAGTCAGGAGAGATGTGGCTCACTATTGTGGAAACTGAGGGCCAGAAAGGTGCAGGAGTGTGCCCAGGGTCACACAGTCAGTGAGTGCCAGGGCCAGGGCTAGAACCTGGGTCTCCCCACTCCTTGCCAGGGCTCTCTGGATTCCTGAGCAACTGAGAAGTGCTCTGATGGGCACTTTCCTCTCTCTGTGTAGGGAAGGTATGGAAGGCAGAGGGGTGGCGGCTGCAGGGAACTGGGGGAGAGGCGAATCAGGAAACCATCAGCTCCCCCCAGAGATGTTCCCACCACAGTGTGAGCGGGGACCCTGGGTCCGTGATGGGGCCAGGGCATGTCCCTCTCTGGGCATCTGTAAGGTGAACAGGCAGTGCTTTCAGTGCCTTTCTGCTTTGGCATGGGTGGATCGATTCACACACTTGTGCTAGTGCCCACTGGCCAGTCTGGGGATGCCCTCCTTTGCTGTGTCCCCAGCATCTAGAACAGTGCTAGGTTCACTGCAGATGCTCAATAAACTGTCACTCTTGAGCAAGTACATATTTCTGGACACGACTGGGAGCCAGGCAGGCCTGTGCTAGGCTGTGGATCAGGCAGTCTCCCTGGGCGGGTGGCCCAGAGGGCTCCCCAAGCCCGTGGGTGGGTTGGGGGAGTCAGAGCTACAGTCAGGGAGGGCTTCCTGGAGGGGGCAGCCCTGGGCCAACTGCTTCAGGAGGACGAGGAGGAGTCAGGAGCTGTTGAGAGTCCAGAGGAAAGGGTGGAGGGTGAAGGATGCCCCAACTTACCCACTCCTGCCTTTCTCCCACCAGAAGTGGCTTTCCTCGCCCTTCCCCTCATCGTCCTTCAGCCCTGGCGGCCTGACGCCTGAGATCTCACCGCTGGAAGTGCTGGAGAGTGACAAGGCAACGCAGCTGCTCCTGCAGCAGGCCAAGGTGCCTGAGCCCGTGCCCTTAAGCAGCAAGCGCTCGCTGACCAGCTGCTTCACCAACCAGGGTTACTTCTTCTTCCGCCTCCCGGACGCCCTGGAGATCGAGGCCTGCCAGGTCTACTTTACTTATGACCCCTGCGCGGAGGAAGAGCCTGATGAGGGTAGGGCCGGGGCACCCACAGGGTCGTCCCCCCACCCCCTGTGGCCTCTGTCAGGGGAGGACGATGCCTACTGCACCTTCCCTGCTGGTGATGACCTGCTGCTCTTCTCCCCCAGTCTCCTCAGTGGCCCCAGCCCCCCAAACAATGCCCTTGGGAGCAGCGGGGCCGGTGAAGAGAGGCTGCTCCCTTCCCTGCAGGAGAGAGTCCCCAGAGACTGGGACCCCCAGCCCCTGAGGCCTCCCACCCCAGGAGTCCCAGACCTGGTGGATTTTCAGCCACCCCCTGAGCTGGTGCTGCAAGAGGAGGGGGAGAAGGTCCCTGACCCTGGCCGAAGGGAGGGGGCTGGTTTCCCCTGGGCCAGTCCTCCTGGGCAGGGCCAGGTGAGGGCCCTTAACTGTCGCCTGCCCCTGAACACTGATGTCTACTTGTCCCTCCAAGAACTCCAAGATCAGGACCCAGGTCACTTGGTGTAGACAGATGGCCAGGGTGGGAGGCAGGCAGCTGCCTGCTCTGTGCCAGGCCTGAGCAGGGGCCTGTTGAGGACTCTGTGCCCAAGCCTAGTCCACTGCTGAGGACACTTGGTGTCCAGTTGCCTCTGGATGCCTCTACCCAGATGGCCCCCACCCCCTGCACACTTGGCCCATCCATTTCTGAACCTCCATTGCTGTTCCCTGGGCCCGCTGCCCGAGCCAGGAACTGTGTGTGTTGCTGGGAGAGGTAACTCCTCAATTCCCTCTTCAATCACCCAGTCCAGTGAGTTTAGTCTCTGAAGCATCGCTCCTCTCCAGCCCTGCGGCTATTCCCCATCAGTCCCCGAAGCGCTCCAGAGCTCCTCGCCCGACCTCTTCCCTGGGTTTCTACCCCAGCCTCCTCTCCTCCCCCTCCATAGGGCAGCCTGAGCGAGCTTTCCAAAACCCAAATATGGCCATGCCTCTCCCCCTTTCACAAATCTTGCATGGCTCCCGCTGCTATCAGCCTCGCTCCTCAGCCTGCCACCTACACTCAGCCTGGCACCTGCACCTCCCGCATCATGTGAGGACAGTCCCTTCGGCAACCCTCCCTACAGTTCTGAGCTGCTCAGAGCTCCCGCACACCCCCTCTGTCACACCTGCTATTCCCTGAGGGAAGCACTGCCTCCCTTCATCTGCCAGAAACTTCTAGCGTCAGTGCTGGAGTGTGAAGCTGTCAGGGAACCAGGGAGACTGGAGAAAGAGGCCCTGTTACTTGGGATCTCTGAGACCTCAGAGTGCTTAGCTGCGGCATCCTTCATGCTAGGCCCCAAGTATGGGCACAGGTCCCCCCACAAAGTAGACACCTGCTGCATCTTCCCACAGTGGCTTCACAGACCCACAAGAGAAGCTGCTGGAGAGTAAACCCTGCAGTCCGAGGCCCAGGAAGCAGCCCCTCCTAGTGCTGGGCCCTGATGCTGCCAGGCCTGGGACCTCCCACTCCCCCTCCACTGGAGAGGTCTTTTCTGCAGGGGTTGGCACACTGGTCTCAAAAGGGCAGCTCCACAGGGCAGGGTCTCATTATCTTTTCACTGCCCTGGACACAGTCCCCAGCACCCCATCGTATACCTTGGATGGACACGTGAATTACCTGGCACCACCTCGTCTGGGCTCCCTGCACCTGACATTCACACAGACAGGCAAAGTCCCATGCCCATGAGGTCTGGCATGCCCCCTTCTGCAAGGGGCTCATCCGCACACCTCACAGTCTTCCCCCTCTCACACAACTAGCCCTTCCTTCTTGTGCCTGTGCCTGTGCCTGTGCCCGTGCCCGTGCCCGTGCCCATGACCGTGCCCCTCCCCTCCCCTCCCCTCCCCTCTGCCCCAGGCAGATCGCATTGCACCTGCACTTATAGGCCCTGCTCACAGCTGATTGGGCACTTGACCACATGTCCCCATAGGCTGAGCAGTAGCCTATGAGGGGGCTTGGCACCAAGCTCTGTCCAATCAGGTAGGCCGGGCCTGAACCAGCCAATCAGATTATCTCTGTCTTGGGCATTTGAACTCAGGGAGGGAGGCCCCTGGGACCAGGTGCTTGTGGACTAAGCTACCTGGAGAAGGTAGACAAGAATTGAGCCACTAAGCAGAGGACCTTGGGCTCCCAATACAAAAATACCTACTGCCGAGAGGGCTGCTGACCATTTGGTCGGGATTCCTGTTGCCTTTATATATAAAATAAATTCCCCTTTCTTGAGGTTGTCTGAGTCTTGGGTCTGTGCCTTGGAAAGAGCTTAATCACAGGACGGTCTCACCTCCTGCCATAGGGTCCTGCATGTTCCAGACCACAGGGAGCTCCACACCTTTGCTGTGTGTCCTAGGGCAACCTACTGAACCTCTCTGCCAGTCAGTTTCCTTATCCGCCAAATGGAAATTGTATTTGCCTGCTCTGGGAGGCTCCCACGTCTTGGGAGGGTTACATTTTTTAAGTGTATGCCATTTGTGATCTTAGTATCTATACGTCTGTATTTTTTAATGATCTGTGTGTACTATCTTTGTGATTATTTTCTTAATATTTTTTCTTGAAGTCAGTTCATTTTTTGTTAAAATACATTTATTTAAAGAAAAATATATTACTCTGTAAATGAAAAGAAAACGATTTTCACTATAAATAAAAGGTAACTGTACGAAGTAAGTTCAATGCTGTTGAAGGAATCCTGGGGCCAAATGTAAACTTCCTCGAGAGAAAGGAGGATGGTGAAGGGAATAGCTTTGTCACTAATAGGAGTCAGGTGTGTCCTATTCTGTGTTTAGGCATCATCTCGTGGCCATATCCCACAGGTCTATGCCTGGGGAAGTATTGCACTTGATGACAGATGTCTCTCTCTCTCTCTCTCTCTCTCTCTCCAGGTAATAGATAGATAGATAGATGGATGGATAGACCCCTGATAAAAGTTGGAACAGATCATGGATGGCAATTCCTGGCATTCATAAAGCCATTCTCATAGCAGACCTTGCTAATCAATTGCACCCATGAGTGGCAGACATTTGTAATCAACCACAGCCTTCCTGCAGAGCCTGGGTACAGCTTCAGAGTCTGGAATGCTGTGCTATCATCAGCTGATATCTGATGACATCTCTGGACCACATAATTCCTCAGGTTTCTAACACAAAAGGAGCTCTCATGTTTCCCAACTCCGACTTCCCAGGCAGGGAAAACTGAGGCTGAGAGGATGGAGACTGGAAAGCTGAGACGGACCTGCGAGAGGCAAGCCCAGGGAACCCAGCTGTCCCCACCATGCCTGGTGAGAGAGTTGAGCTGGCAGGGAGCAGAGTCAGGGCCACCTTACAGCAGGTGCAGATGGAGGGATGGGCCAACGGTCACTGTGTGTCGTCCAGTGTGGGGCCGAGTGTGGATCTTAGGTGAGGAGATAAAGAGGAAACAGCTGGCAGCGGGGGTGGTGATTAGATCACAGGAGGGGCCTGGGTCAGATTCAGGAGAGAGAAATAGCACCAGCTGGCGGCCAGGCAGCATCGGCTGGGGGCCTGGAGAACCATCAGGTGCAGAGCGGGAAGCGCAGATCTGGGGCTAAGAGAAAAAGGAGGAGAGGTGTTGGGGGCGGCTTCCAGGCTCTCATGTTTCCTCTTTGTTGAATTCGGTTTGTTCCTTGCTTCCCCCGTTCCCCCACCTCCTGTCTCTCATCCACCGTTAGGGTTAGGGTTAGGGTTAGGGTTAGGGACTTCTGTTGCCTGCATTTCCCAAGTAAATTATGGGGGAAACTGTAGGCCCAGCCTAGGATGAATCACCCACCACTGTCCTCCTCACTGACAGCTGGAAAAACAGACCAAAAAGCCCAGTAAGAAGGGGCAAGAGCCCCATGGTTATGTTCTACACCTTGTGCCAGTGTGGTTTGAGCGTCGTCTTTCATTGCCTGGAAACAACTTGAGAAGCATGAGCTTCGTTCCCCACTTTGCCAATTAGGAAACAGAGGCCCAGGGAGGTGGAGAAACGCAGCTGATGGTTTGTAGCGCCAGGATTCAAACTCAGGTACATTGGACTCCAGAGATTTTGGTCCTTAGCATGTAGAAGGCTACACAGGAGATGATTATATGAATGGGAAAATACCTAGTAAATTTCATTCTCAGCTTCCTGACAGTCAGCCTAGGAGAAAAAAAACAAAAAGATACCACCATCCATAACTGTGATTGTGGGAGAAAAAGCAAAGCCCTTTGATAGCTTGGCAGGTAGATGGGGCTGAATGGCGGCCAGGAGAGGAGGCTGAGGGCAAAGCAGCTTGGTCAGGTGAGGTGGTCTTTCTCCCTCCTCTTCCTCTGTAACTGAGCCCCTCCTGCTGCCCCCCCCGCCCCCCCCCAGCTGGCCCAGTGTCCCTCTGGGCTAGCATTTCACTGGTTACTCCCATTCCGACCCTGGTGACCCCCGTGGCGCAGACCTAACACCCTCACCCCTTGTTCGAATCCCTGCTCAATCTCCTCCTTGGTCTGCCTGTCCCCACTGCCGCCTGCCCCTCTGAGCCCTGCCAGGCTGACCTGGCTAAGGGTCATATCTGGCCACACCACAACCGTGCTAAATCTCCGGTGACCCACTGTCATTTTCAGGAGAATGGCTGAGGTCCTCTATGACTTGGAGGACTTTGGGGAAGGTCCCATTTGCTCTTATACCTCAGTTGCCCCATCTGTGAATTGGGCAGGCCGATTAGATGATTTCTTTCTTTTTTTTTTTTTTTTGAGATGGAGTTTTGCTCTTGTTGCCGAGACTGGAATGTAACGGCATGATCTTGGCTCACCAAAACCTCTGCCCCCTGGGTTCAAGCGATTCTCCTGCCTCAGCCTCCTGAGTAGCTGGGATTATAGGCGCATGCCACCATGCCCAACAAATTTTTTGTATTTTTAGTAGAGATGGAATGTCTCCATTTTGGCTGGGATGGTCTTGAACTCTGGACCTCAGGTGATCTGCCCACTTTGGCCTCCCAAAGTGCTGGGATTACAGGTGTAGCCACCGCACCTGGCCTGAATGGTTTCTAAGTGCTCTCCTAGCCCTGATATTCTGTGGTTCCAGGTGCCACATAGAATAGGGCTTGAGACCTGTACTACATGTATTTTATGCCAAGAGTTGGCGCTGGGGTTGGGGAGTGGGGATGAGGGTAGTGACTACAACTGACTTGTTTGCCTTGGCACCTGCTCATCCCTGAGTTTTCGGCAGCCCTGTCACCCAAACAGTCTACCCTCAGGTTCCCATGCATCCCTCAGAATCCCACTCAAGCATCTCTGCTTCTGGAGGCCCTCTGATTTGCCCCCAAGCAGAGCAGGTCACTTCCTCCTGCTGTCCCCTCCTGAGCTACCTCCATTACAACCCGCTGTTGTGCTGTGCGTCAGACCCTGGCCTAGATTCTGGGGATCTAAGGGTGCCACTAACAGCTTTGGAAGAACAGCTGGAAGAGCCCTGTTAGTCAGAAAAGCCAGGGACAAGAAGACTCCGAAGGGACCTTCTAATTGGGGAAGGAGCGGGGAATGTTGGGTCGAGCTTTGGCAAGGGAGCTCAGCTGAAACTCAGCTGCTTTTGGATGTAGTTGGTTGAGGGTGGTGCTTCGAATAGAGAGGGATTATTTTCGCAGATTAGCAGCCACTATTTGACAATTTGGGTTTTATCAACAGGTGGAGGGGGGTGGGGGGAGGGACAGCTTTGGGGTCAAGGATCTGTGAGAGCCACTGTGGAATGTTCTCGGTCCTTCAAGCTCTCTTCAAGAACTGCATGTAGAGCACTTAGAGGCATCAGACCCTGTTCTAAGAACATTGTGTTATTAACTCGCTGGATCCTTAAAAGAATGCCATGAGGGAGGTACGATTCTTAGCTCATTTTATAGCTAGACCTGTGGCCCAGCGTGGTCAAGTGACTTGCCCACGATCACAGAGCCAGAGTGCAGTGAAGCAAGGGGTTAGACCCTGGCAGTATTGAGCACTCACATGGCACAGCTCCTCACCGCTTTTTAAGTGTGAGCACCCCAGGTGTCCTCTGCAATCACACAGTGACCTAGCAAGACAGGAATGACAGAGCTTCTGAGTCCTGTTCAGCTGTTGAAACCCGGAGGCCCTGAGGGGGAGATGGTGCCATGTCCCAGGCCACACAGTGTGTTCGATAGTGGGGGAGGGAGTGTTGGTTACATTTGAGCTCACCACCGGCACCTGTGACAGGCCTGGGACATCCCCTAGGCTGACTTGCTCAGAGAGATTTTCCACCACCAGTGCTATGACACACTTGAGGCTCCCATCATAGAGCCTGGCAGAAAGTGAGGCAGGAAGCGCTGAGTGGTGAGAGACGCAGGTCGGGTGGTGGTTGGTGTGTGTGGGGGGTGTGTGCCTAGTCTGCGATTCCAGGAAGCCAGGATGCAGAGGGAGGGAGGAGCGGAGCTGGCAGGAGGTGTGTCATCTTCCATTCCTCTATTTACCTGGCCTCACACAGGGCAATGGCCATAGAGAGGAGGCTGGCTACGGCTCTGTCCACAAAGAGTATCCAGTGTTGTCCAGGAGGGGGGAGTGACCCTGGAGGACACGGACTAGTGGACCAGCAGTCACAGCCCTCCCTCGGTGGGGAGAAAATCAACCTGGTCCTGTGAGCACAAACCGTGATCAGGAAATGGTGCCGTGAACACACAGTGGAGCCTTCTAACCTGGCCGGGGATGATGGAATGCATGCAGGGCTTTAGCAAGAAGGGCCCAGCCAGAGTGCAGCTAGTTTCGGATAGTTGGTGGAGGATGGTTCTTAGAAGAGGGAGGAATTGTTCATTCACTCACTCATTCATTCAACAGACACTCAGGAGGGGCTGTTATGTGCAAGTCATGGTCCTGGGGATCTAGCTGTGGGAAGTAAAAACGTCCCTCTTTAAAGTTTTCTTTCTTATTAAAGAAGAAGTGTGCTAATAACTCTTGGTTGAGCCCTATCCCACGCAGCTGTTAGACCTGCCATGCTTACAGGCATGTAGGATATTCTACGTCTTTGTACTTTACCCAAGATACGTGTGCTGGACCTGCTCACAGGCACGTCCCAGCTCTCCATTGCTTTTACCTGTTTGGAAAAGTTTTGAGTTATTAGCCAGTCCTTTGTCTCAGTGCTAATTTATCTTTGGGGCACTGAGCATCTATTTGTTCACAGCAGTGAACAAAATCCCCTTCGATCTGCCCTTTCGGCCTTTGTGGCTGCCTTGGGGCAGTATGGTGCAGTGGTTAGAGTTCTAACTCCGGAGCCCCGCAGCCTGGGTTAGGTACTGGCCCTGCTGCCTACCAGCTGTGACTTTGGACAAATACCTAAGCTTCTCTGTGCCTCAGTTTTCTCATCTGTAATAAGGGAGAATACCAGGAATGTCGTGAGGATGAAAGAAATAAGGGAATGTGGCTGGGCACGGTGGCTCACACCTATAATCCAGCGCTTAGGGAGGTCCAGGTGGGAGGATCGCTTGAGCCCAGGAGTTCGAGATCAGCCTGGCCAACATGGTGAGACCCAGTGTCTACAAAAAATATATATATACAAAAATTAGCTGGGCATGGTGGTACACACCTGCAGTCCTAGCTACTAAGGAGGCTGAGGTGGGAAGATCCCTTGAGCATAAGAGACTGGGGCTGCAGTGAGCAGTGATTGTGCCACTGCAGCCTGGGTAACAGAGTGGGACCCTATTACAAAAAAAAAAAAGT